GAAGGTTGGGCAATCTACTTCCATAGTGATACCGCCTTGGAAACCTAAGGAAGGGTCGCTGTGAGTTGGATCCAATTCCATAGCAGTGAATTTTTTTTTTTTTTTTTGGTTTATCTAGGAGCTCCAGTTTTGATCCTTTTCGAGTGTTTGGCAGTGGTAGCTGAGCATCATCTAGTTCTGATCTCAAGGTCATATAGGCTGAGTTTCTCATGGTCCATTAGTCCTTCAATTTTCTTCATTCTTCTTTGTTCTGGACAAGAAGAGACCAATAGTTCCATCTTAGATGGCTGATCACAAGCTTTTAAGAGTTCAGTTGCTACTCCCCAAATTACAATGTAGAACTATCTTTTTGTATATTATGTTGTGCCAATTGAGCTTCATGTCCCTTGTCCCTTGTTTTTAATAAAACGTTTTTGAGAGCATCATTCTATTATTTTTGTGGAAGAAAAAATAAAAGGAGATCCACTAAGATTCATATTCAGATCAGAAATATTTTCTGAAAGACTCTATTTAATCAGATCCTTTTAGAGTCTCTCTTCATTATTGAAGAAATACACCATCAAAATGCAGAAAGCCAATTTAGCCAACATATATTTATTTATGACTTCTTGTGTGAAGATGTGCAATATGTGAGGGATCAAAATCTTATGAAGCAGTAATCCCCAGTGTATGGAAAGTTCTATGACAGATGTATGGACAGAGGGCATTGGAAATACCGAGATGTGTTTTTGGCTATAATTCATACAACAGATAAATAAATCATCAACAAACATTATTTATTTATTTACATTGTTTTGTTGAGGTATAAGTTATATAAAGTGAATTGCGTAAATTTCAATTATTTAGTTCATGGAGTTTTTACATAGATATATAGCCATGCAACCATCACCCAAACCAAGACATAGAACACTCTTATCACCTGAGAAGGTTCCCTTGGGCCACTTTCCAATCAGTTATGCCCACTCCTTCTGGAGGTAATCATAATCTGACTTCTATCACATAGGCATTTGTTTGTTTAAGTATTCATTTTGGGAGCCTCTGTAGGTTTCAGACTCAGGTTGGCTGTAATCTTTACCTAAGCCAATTACCAGGCTGTGGTCTTCCACAGCACTACTGGGTGGGTTCAAACAGGTAATCTTCGGGTTACTAGCTGACTTCTATTATGTAGATTAGTTCCTGAATTTTATATAAATGAAATCTTACTGTATGTTCTTTCGTATGTCTAGCTAATTCCCTCAACATGTTATTGATGTTACATATATCACTAGCTTATTCCTTTTTATTGACATATAATTTTCAAGTGTATGGCTAGACCATATTTTGTTACCCAATCCCCTCTTTTTTTTTTTTTTTTTTAATTTTTATTGTGATTTAGGTGAAAGTTTACAGAATAAATTCACTTTTCATACAGCAGCTCACATACACTTTGTGACATTAACTGCAGTTTCCCACGATGTAACAACTCCCCTCTCACTTCCTCCCCATAGTTACTTCTTCCCTGTGTCCTTCCCTCCATGCACTCCTGCCCTCTGAGCTGTCTCCCTGTGCCTAAACAGCCCTTCTATTCTCCTGTGACTGCTCTCTCTAAGGAGTGTATCCACCTAATGGAAATGTTCAGCTCAAATGCCTATCTTTTGTTTGGCTGGAAGCCACAGGAGTGGGTTCGACTCCAGACTTGAAGGGCAGCTAGGGGCCATAATCTCAGTGGTTCCACCAGGCTCTATCAGACTCATTCCCCCCTCAATAGACTTTTTCAGTTATAAATAAAGTGGCTATGAATATTTTTATACATGTTTTTTGTTGCTGTTATTTGTTTTGTTTTGTTTTTGGTAAATACATGGATTTCTTTTGGATATAACTAGGAATAAAATTGCTGTGTTGTAACGTAGTCATGGGAGCTCTGGTGGCGTAGTGCCTAAGGCATTTGACTGCTAACCGGAAGGCTGGTGATTTAAACCCACTAGCCACTCCTCAGAAGGAAGGTTGGGCAACCTGCTTCCATAGTGATACCTCCTCAGAAACCCAAGGAGGGATTGCTATGAGTCGGATCCAACTCAATGGCAGTGAGTTTTTTTTTTTTTTAAACGTAGTCATGTGTTTAGATCTTCAGTACTGCCAAATGATTTTACAAAGTGATTGAAACACTCTGATCAGAAATGGTCTCAAGTTCCAGATTTACATTCTCTCTAACACTTACTCTTCTATTCCATTGGTCTTTTTGTTCCCCCTTGTACCAATAACACACAGTTTTAGTTACTGTGGTTTTATCATGTTATTGTTGTTGTTATGTGCCGTTGAGTTGGACCTGACTCATAGCAACCCCTCCTTGGGTTTCCGAGGCAGTATCACTATGGAAGTAGATTGCCCCATCTTTCCTTCCAAGGAGTGGCTGGTGGGTTTGAACTGCCAGCCTTCTGGTTAGCAATCAAGTGCCTTAGATGCTACCCTACTAGAGCTCCTGTGGTTTTATTATAAGCCTTCATATTTGGTAATATATATCTTCCAACTTTGTTCTTCTTCAAAATTGTTATAGCTGTTCTAGGTATTTTGCCTTTCTATAAAACTTTAGAATCAGTTTGTCCATTTACACACATAATCACAGCCTCCTGAAATATTGATTGGGATTGTATTGAATGAATAGATAAATTTGGGGAAACTGATATCTTAACAATTTTGAGTATTCTTATCTATAAACATGGACTGTCTCTTCATTTATTTATGTCTTCAATTTCTCCCAGCAGTGTTTTGTAGTTTTTGTTGCAGAGGTCTTGCACATCTTTCATTCAGATTTATTCCCTTTTCAGCACTGTCAATTATATTTTGTACCTCTGTGTTTTCTCCTAGAGTTGTTTTCCTTCAGCCTGGAGAACTTTATTATCTCTTGTAATATTTTTCTTTTGGCAGTGAATTCTATCAGATGTTGTTAGATAATGGCTTTAATTTACCCTTATTTTTGAAGAATTCTAGTTTGGCAGGTTTTTTTTTTTTTTTTTCTTTTTTTTTGTATCATAACTTTAAAGATGTTATTTCTTTGTCTTCTGGTCCCTATGGATTCATTGTGAAGCTATTACTTTAATTTTTGTTCTTTTAATGGTCATATGTCTTTTCTCTCTGGCTGCTTTTAGTAATTGAATCTTTATCTTCACTTTTAGAAATTAAATTGTGATGTATCTAAAAGCAGTTTCCTTTGTATTTATCCCATTTGGGGTTCATTTGAGTTATTGAATCCGTAGGTTGAAAAATTCTTGGCTATTATTCTTTGGACATTGCTTTCTTTCATATTCTCTTTCCAGATTTCAATTCATGAATCTTAGCTGCTTTGATGTTGTTGTGATAGTACCCCTCTTATATACTCCATTTGTGTGTGTGTGTGTATTTTTTTCTCAGTGCATCAGCTATTCTGGAAATTTTTTATTTAGCCATTTTCAAACTCATTAATCATGTGTCTGGCTATGTCTTATTCAAACACATCCAATGAGTTCTTAATTTGAGATACTTTATTTTGCAGTTCTGTGTTGTCCATTTGATTGTATTTTAAAGTAATCTAATCCTCTGGTAAAATATTTTATCTTTTCATTCATTTCATCAATAATTTCCTCTATTTCAAAAAACATTAATTATAGTTGTTTTGAAGTTTTTTTTACTACTAACTACAATATCTAAAGAGCTCTGGTGGTGCGTTGTTCAAGGCAGCTGACTGCTAACCAAAAGGCTGGCAGTTTAAACTCACCAGCCACTCCACAGGAGAAAGATGAGACAGTTTGCTTCTGTAAAGATTTATAGCTTTGGAAATCCTATGGGCAGTTCTACTCTGTCCTGGTGGGTTGCTATAAGTCAGAATCAACTCCACAATGAGTTTGGTTTTAGTTTAACTAAAATATCTAGATCATCTTGCTTCTATTGTCTGTTTTATCTCTTTATTATTGGTCACTCTTTGCATATGTAGGATTTTTTTTTAATTGTGTGCTTGCCATTGTGAGTGATAAGTTATAGAGGTTTTAGATTGTATTAACTCCCTTTGAAGATGTTGATAAAGATTAGAGTTTTGTTCTGACAGTTAAATTACTTGCAGATTACCTTGATCCTGTAAGCTTGTTTTGGAGCATTGTTAGCACAGATTTATTTAAGTTTTTGCCCTTTCTTTTAGAGTATGACTCTCTCCTTTCTTGGGTCTCAACTAAATGCCAGGGTGTTTACCAAAGTTTTTCTTCCTTGACTGAGTTGGAACTCTAGCATGTCTCTAGCATTGTGTGACTTCTAAATCTCTCTTGGGCTTTTGGCCTCCTAATAGTTTTTCTCTGCTAGACCTCCCAGAATCTTGCCCTAGTCATAAAAAGCTTAGAAACCATCCACAGATTCAAAGAGTATTTTATGCAGATTTTAGGGTTCTAGTCTCTCTAATACCCTGATCCTGAAATCCCTGTTTCCTTAGCATCTTTAAACTCCTGTCTCTGTTTCCTCCATCTGGGAGCTGCTACTCTTATTTGGGCTTTTTAAATTTCACTATGCTATGGTTGGGAGCTCTGGTAGCATAGTGGCTAAGGCACTTGACTGCTAACCAGAAGGCTGGCGGTTCAAATCCACCAGCCACTCCTCGGAAAGAAGATGGGGCAATCTACTTCCGTAGTTATACTGCCTCGGAAACCCAAGGAGGGGTCGCTATGAGTCGGGTCCGACTCGACGGCACATAACAACAACAACAACAATGCTGTGGTTTTAGAAATGTCCTTAGGGAGAAGCCAGGGTGAACGTAAGCCTGCCTTATGTGCTTTATTTTTTGATGTCTGAAACTATTGTTTTTATCTAGTCCATCTAGCTTTTATATTTTCAATGGGAAGGTAAATCTGACATAATTTTTATTGGAGGGTAAATCTGGTATCAGCTGCTCCATGATAGCTGGAACTCTAACAATCATTTAATGAGATTTTACTAAATATAGGAAAAGTTGGTTTCTATAGATACAGGATGCATAAAACATGGTCCTTGCCCTTCAAAAGTCCAAAATCTCTTAATGTAGTAATTCTCAAACTACTCCTAAGAAATATTGAAGCAGAACTTAGGTGTCCTATCATTAAAATAGAAAAATGGATAAATGGATGTCTTTTCTGAGTTTACTTACAGATAGTTTTTTGTTATCCATGATATCTGTGAGCTATAATCTTGAATTTATTTTGGAGAAACTTTCTATATTTTACTTATCCTAAATGGTAATATCTCATAATGCTCTACAGAATACGTTAAGGACTCCCAACAGATATGCCACTTGAGAAAGTTTTAGTCATAGTGGAGTAGTATTGAGATACCTGATCAAATAATTGCTGTGACTGTGATAAATGCTATGAAAAAAGTTCCCTGGAGTCCCAAGCAGGCCCAACATGATTGACTCTGCCTGTGAAATCAGGGAAGGTTCTATTTGTTTAATATTATATGCCATCTGTTACTACTATGATTATATTTTGAATAGGAGAGAAGTAAATAAAGCATCCTGGATATTTACATTATGATATCTTTGCAATTAATTACAGGCTTCTAATTCCTCATCTGAAATCAGAGATCTGTTGGAACAGAAAAACAAGTTGACCACAGAAGTGGCTGAACTTCAGAGACAGCTTCAACTAGAAGTCAAGGTACCTGATTTTTCCCTATTCATTATTTTTTCCACTCCTGTCTTGGTTAATAAAGAATCTTTTAAGCACATTGAGGTACTCAGATGAGGAACACTGAGTAAATTCCTGTATATTTGTTTGTTGCTGTCCGAATAACTTTGTTTTATTAAGTAGCAGAAGCATATAAAGGCTGTTTATTTTGATAGAATAAAAGGAAATCTGTTGGATTCAGGACATAGGTAAACAGAAAACTAAATGTATATAACACATCTGAACTAAGTACTAGAAGTAGCAGCATGAAGTTTAGTTGTGTTTGTGTTTTTCTTTTAGAATCATTACATGTTCATTAAATATTTAATATTCCTTCCAGCTACAAACTCTTAGGCCTTAACTGTGTAGTTTAATTGTTCAATAATGTAAATGTGAAGGCATGGAGTTTATAAGGCTGCCAGAAGGCAGGGTTTAGATATAGGCATCTTTGGATTAGGTTAATGTACAGTGGAGGTACTTAAAAACCTTACTTATTCATATTAGAATCAACAGAACATCAAAGAAGAGAGAGAGAGAATGAGAGCAAACTTAGAAGAGCTCAGAAGCCAGCATGCAAATAAGGTGGAGGAGAACTCTATGCTGCAACAACGATTAGAAAAGAGTGAAGGGGAGCTCCGCAAAAACCTGGAGGAGTAAGTTCTGGGCCAAGAGCCTGCCGCCCTTCCTGGGCTTTTGTATCATGTATAACCACAGCCTCATTGTCCGTTCAACACTACCCAGCCTTCCAGATATTTATAGTAGAGACTGCTGATCATTCCTTCCCCCCTCTAATCCTTGTAAAATTGTGACACTAGTAACATGTACACTGTAAGCAGAAAGGTTAATAATTAAAAAACATTTCTGTGTATACTTTGAAGTATGTTTTATAAACTGTCAATCCTTAGAGTAGATTGTACATCAGGTAAGTGAGAAGCAGAAAGCACTGAGAGGTGATATTTGAAGACTGAGACTTCAAGGATCCTGGGCATAACCTCCAGAAAGCAATTCACATGATCTCCAGAGTCTTCTGGTTTCTGAATTTTATCATGAATGATGCTGGTCTCTGTGACCAGTGTTGATGTCTCTTCTGAGCCTGCAGAGAAGGAAAACCATGTCTAAAGTGTCTTTGTCTTTGTGTTGTATTAAAACCCGTAACAAAAAGATCTAAAGCTACATTTGAAAATGTGCAGTACCATGAAGACCTGTGGACATGACATAAGCTTTAAGTGAAAGGTTGAATAAGAGGGAGATCTGGAAGGACATCAAGACAAATAGGATATTATATAATAATAATTACAAATAATAATAAAGCATTCAAATGCCTTTGCATATTGTTAGGGTAGTGTTTGCTTTTAAAATATTCATAGAAGTTAATTTCAGAAAATAAGTTGGTAAGAAAAAAAGCAAAGAATTTAGGGTATAGTAAAGACTTTATAAGATAAAAGGACAAGGGCTTCAAGTTTGGTTTGGCACAGAGTCTGGAAAACTTTCTGTAAAGGGTCAGATAACTATTTTAGGATTTGTGGGCCATATAATTTTTGTTGCAGCCATTCACCTCTATAGTTGCTATATGCAATACATAAATGAATGAGCATGGTCATGTTCCAATAAAACTTTATTTGCAAAAACAGCCAGCAGGCTGAATTGGCTTTCAACTGTAATTTACTGAGTCTTCTGGTCTAAAGTGCTGGGTGATGGGGTGAGGGGGTACTAGGAAGGGCAGAGGTGGGGGTGGCTTTAGTGAAAATTATTGAAAAAGTTGTACTCTTTTTGTCAATTCCTAGTTTTCTATTTCCAAATTCTATTGTCTTACGTTCTACTTTTATAACCTCATTAATACGTATACTCATTGGTTTAATTTCTTCTTACTGGAGAAATTAGACGGTAGCTGTGAGTTCTCACCATGTGCCTTTTCGGGTCAGGTGATTGCTTATTTAGTGTAGAACAGTGAATGGAATGGGCTTCTTGGAGCTTTTAGTGACCCTGCTTGACTCTTTGAAGGTCTGAAGTCCATTCTGAAATCAGACTGGATGAAAATGAGCAGAGCCCAGAAGAGTCTCTCTGATGGGCTTCCTTCCCTGCCAGGCTGTTCCAGGTGAAAATGGAACGGGAACAGCACCAGACTGAGATCAGGGATCTCCAGGACCAGCTCTCAGAAATGCATGACGAACTGGACAGTGCCAAACAATCTGAAGATAGGGAGAAGGGGGCTCTGATTGAGGTAAGGAGGACTGCAGGGGGAGAAGGTCAGGTGATAAGAAAGGCCCCACCTGCCTCAAGAGGGTGGGATGGACGGGAGGACTGGGTGCTTCCAGTGTTCTCTGTTATGTGCATTTGTTCCACCTGTCCTATGGTTGGATTATATCAAAACCAAAACCAAACCCACTTTGACTGAGTCGATTTCTACTTACAGTGACCCCCATTGGGTTTCTGAGGTGGTAAATCTTTACAGAAGTTGGTGGCCCTGTCTTCCTTCTGTAGATTGGCTGGTGGGCTTGCAACATTCTGGTTAGCAGTCAAATGCCTTAGGCATTATACCACCAGAGCTCCTTATAGTTAGATTATGAAAGACAGAATATGTAATAGTTTTTAAATATCTTCTTAGGGAAATTTGCAACCATATGGAAAAGTAGAAATAGTACACTAACACCCATAGATCCTAACCAAGATCTGACAGTTGTCAATATTTTGCTGTTATTTACTCCATTTATTCATCCATCCATCTGATTCATCTTTCTATATTTTTTATTTGCTGATTATTTCAAAATAAATTACAGATAACACCATCCCTTACTCCTATATTTTCTACATGTATCTGAAAAATGGGGGAGAGGGAATTCTCTTAAATAACCACAATACCATTATAACATCTAACACAATAACTTTATAATATCAAACCAAACAAAACTAATTGCCATCGAGTCAATTGTGACTCATAGTGACCCACATTGGGTTTCTAAGGCTGTAAATCTTTACAAAAGCAAACTCCCTCATCTTTCTTCCACAGAGCAGCTAGTGAATTCAAACCACAGACCTTTTGGTAGCAACCAAATACCTCAACCACTATACCACCAGAGCTCCTTAATAATCTTAGTAATATATTATTAATATATAATCAATCAATGTATTATTAATGTATCAATAATAAGATTATTTATTGTAGTATAATAACATAATAATTCTAATACCCAGTCCTTATTCATAATTTCCTGTTGTTCCTTATACTTTAACGGTATTCCCCACCCTGCTCCAGCCAGGGTCCAATCAAGAATCACACATTGCTTTCATTGTTATATTTTACAGATTTCATTTATATTGTTATAGCTTCCCTTCCCCTGAACCCTACTCTCTACTTTTCTCCTTCCTTCACATTGAGCTCCTGAAGAGACCAGCCCAGTGTCCTACACAGTGCATTTGTCTGATTGTTTCCTTATGATGTCCATTAACCATTCTTCTATCCTTTGCAATAAATTGGAAATTAGATCTAAGCATCAATTAAAAGAAAAAAAAAAACCCAAACTCACTGCCATCGAGTTTGAATCCGACTCATAGCGACCTCTCCTTGGGTGTCTGAGGCGGTATTATCTCTATGGAAGTAGATTGCCCAATCTTCCTTCTGAGGAGTGGCTGGTGGGTTTGCACTGCCAGCCTTCTGGTTAGCAGTCAATTGCCTTAGGCACTACACCACCAGCGCTCCCAAAACATCAGTAGATTCAGGAAAAAATGTAAGGGATAGAGTATTACTTTGATGATAATGCTGTTTATGGAAAAACATTTTAAAGACACTAGGATTATGAGTTAGGGAGTGCTTAGTGTAAGGAGCCCTGGTGGTGCAACAGTGAAGCTCTTTGCTGCTAACTGAAAGTTTGGCAATTCGAAACCACCCAGTGACTCCATGAGAGAAAAGATTGAGTGATCTGTTCTCTTAAAGATTACAGTCTTGAAACCTTATGGTTAGTTCTACTCTGTCATATAGGGTCACTGAGTTGGAATTAACTTGATGACAGACAACAACAAGATTATATTAATGCCTATACAGCACTTACTGCATAAAGTTGTTATTTGTTTAATGTTTGTCTCCTCTACAAAACTGTAAGCTCCATAAGGGTAGGGAAAGAATGATTGGTTTGGCTTTATGTCTGCAGCTGCTAAGCTGCTATCGTGGTGCCTGGGACATTTGTAAAATAAAAACCTAGCCCACTGCTGTCAAGTCAATTCTGATTCATAAAGACCTTATAGGACAGAGTAAAACTGTCTGGATTTCCAAGGCTGTAAATCTTTATGGAACAGACAGCCACTTCTTTCTCCTGTGGAGTTGGTGGGTTCAAGTAGCTGAATATTTAATCACTGCACCACGAGGACTCCTTCTGGGTCATATAGCACTCAGTAGGTAGCATAGTGGCTAAGGCATTTGACTGCAAACCAGAAGGCTGGCGGTTCAAACCCACCAGCCACTCCTCGGAAGGAAGATGGGGCAATCTACTTCCATAGTGATACTGCCTTGGAAACTCAAGGAGGGGTCCCTATGAGTCGGGTCCGATTCCACAGCACATAACAACAACAACAACAAAAGGTATTGGTAGATGTTTGGATAGATGCATGGTGAGTGAATAAATGAATGAATAAATCCTTTTCTGTGTTCTAAGCTGTCCTTGATTGTGCTCATGAGGAACCTAAACATAGAATAAGAGGCAGTTGGATCCACAATCAACACTCATGGAAGCAGCAGTCAGGAAATCAAATGACATATTGCATTGGGCAGATCTGCTGCAAAAGACCTTTTTAAAGTGTTAAGAAGCAAAGATGTCACTTTGAAGACTTTGTCTTTTCAATCACCTCACATGCATGTAAAATCTGGACAGTGAATCAGGAAGATGGCAGAAGAATTGATGTATTTGAATTGTGTTGGTGAAGAATATTGAATATATCATGGGCTGTCAGAAGAATGAACAATCTATCTTGAAAGATATATGACTCGAATGCTTCTTGGAAGCGAGAATGGCCAGACTTTGTCTCTTGTACTTTGGTCATGTTATCAGGAAGGACCAGTCCCTGGAGAAGGATGTCTTATCATGCCTGGTAAAGTACAGGGTCAGCAAAAAAGAGGGAAGACCTCAATGAGGCTGCAACAATGGGCTCAAGCATAGCAATGACTGTGAGGATGGCCCAGGACTGAGCATTCTTTCTTTCTGTTGTACATATGGTCACTATCAGTCAAAACCGACTCAACGGCACCTCACAACAACAACAACAGAGGCTGCCCACCTGGCTTCTGCCCAAAGCAGTGTCCTCCATATAGAACATTTAGCTCTTATTCATCTATATGAGTCCATGTATATATATATATCCCCTGTGCCTAGCATTTGCTAATTGTTATGGTGCTTACCAAAGACAGTTATCTTTTTCTTGACGTAGATTACCAACTTACTGAGGAGTTATATACATACATAGTAAATGTTTAGAGGGCAAGAATGTAGGTTTTGAGTGTCTTTGTTTTTTCATTGGAAATAAGTATAACTGAGGGTGAGAAAAAGACAGATGTTATTTCTGCACCTATATAGTTGTTTTGATATTTGTAATAACTTTACTATTACCTGTATTTTGGGCCTATTGATGTTTGATACATGTTGAATTTTATTATTTTTTTTATAAGCTTTGTTTTGTAGGAATCACCTAATATATAGATGAAACACAACTTGGAACTAAGCCCCCCCGAAAACCTCAGCAACAGCAACCCTCTCCAAAAAACACAAAAGTACCTTATTGGTATTTAACTTTAATTTTCTACTCTTATTTTAGGTCTTTTCCGTGACCCTTGCTTAAGATTAAAAGCTTGGCTCTTATAACCCTGTAGTTCCTTTAAGTCTCAACTGTCAACTGTTTTCTCATCCTTTTCCTTGTTTAGTTTTGAAATAATTGCCCAGGAGGGATATTAGTTCCTACTCCATGGAACTTCCCACTTTATTTCCCCAGGACTTGGCAGGAACTGCGAAGGGAGTGAGGGAATCCAAGTCAGGACTTCTCATGAATTGCCAACTCCCCCACCCCTATGTTGGGGGTGTTGAGTAATTTTCTCTTCTCCCTGCATGGCGGGGCCTTAGAACTTTTCTCCTGAGAAGGCCTTGGGAGAGGTATTCCTTACAACCTGATATTTCTCTTCCTTGAACATCACCATATTCATTCATAGGATTAGGTACTCTACTGCTTCTTATAGCTCTGCCTTCTTACCAGGTATCAGAGTTATAGAGACAAGATATTTTAGAATGGGGCTTTGAAAATGGTGGCATAATGGACAAGGCATTTGGCTGCTAACCAAAAGGTCAGAGGTTCATAACCCACCAGCTGCTTTGAGGAAAGAAAATGGGCGATCTACATCTCTAAAGATTTACAGCCTCAGAAACCCAATGGGGGGTTGCCATGAGTCAGAATCGACTTAATGGTAGTGAGTTTTTTTTTTTTTTATTACTAAGTTATTATTAAAAGAACATAAAATCCAATTTTAAAATGAGGAGGGGGGCACATACTTTTGCCTAAGGAATTTAACTGCTAACCAGAAGTCTGGCGGTTCAAACCCACCAGCCACTTCTCAGAAGGAAGGTTGGGCAATCTACTTCTATAGCGATACCACCTCAGAAACCCAAGGAGGGGTCACTATGAGTTGGATGCTACTCGAGGGCAGTGAGTTTGTTTTGGTTTTTGGTAACAACTGTTTGCATCTCTGTTTTCTGTTTACCTCCCCATCCATCTTTAGGTTTCAACCATCCATCTCAATTGTAGGAGTGGCCATAGTGTCCCTGAAAGTTTTATATCTGCTCATAAAAGTTAATAAGGCAGAAACATTTTTCCTCATTAAATTTTATAGTTTTCATATTTCATTTTTAAGGTGATAAAACAGAACGTGTTTAACCATTCCCCTGTGTCTCTGTCTTTCTTCCCCTCTCCTTTTCTCATTTCTGCAATTGAACAGATGTTATGGTGAATATTTTTGCACATGTATTCTTTACATCTGTGGAAGATCATCCTAAGGAAAGTTCTCAGAAATGATATCATTGAACAGTTTATGACATTTAATAAAAAATGTAGCTTCACAAACAAATTTTAATAGAAGATAATAAGACTGTGGCATATCCTGTGATTCCTCTATGGGCACGTCATCAATTCTAAAAGAGAAAGAAACCCTTTCCCTTGATACCTTGTAGCCCTGTAGAGTCTCTGCTTTAG